AGAATCCAGAATATGGCCAGCTGTCATAGATCAGGATTTTGGTTTCTCAGCAGCATCGGAAACTATTTGGGTCTCATTAGAGTCGGAAGCTTCAATAAATGTCTCCTGGCTGCTACGCTCTCTGAATTTTCTCTTGATGGTTTTTCCTCCTGGATTGAAGAACTGCATGTGAGAGTCTGTGTCTGAATTTGGCTTTTTGCCTACCACTGTGTTTAGGGGATGTGTCGACATTGGGACAGTTAATTAGCATCAGCTACTGTATCTATTACTCGGTTAAGTTTTCCAATTGAGTTGTTATTCTAAACAGCCTACGCCGACGCAACTCCGCCCACAGCCGACGCCGACGTCGCTCCGCCCACAGCCTCCACCGCCAGCAGCTCCAGAGGAGACAGCAACACCCAGCCCTGCCGAGTCTTCACCATCCCCCCAGACCTCCCTCTTACTGAGGGCGAACGGTCAGTCCTCAGTAAAGGGCTCACCTTTGTCCCCCTCCACCCACACATCAACGAATACTGCTCACGTTTGGACATAGAGCAGTTTTTCCGCCGCCTCTGCCTCCACGCTTACTTCTTCAACCGTGAACCTAACCCTCCCTCTACTGACCCCTTCTCCCGCCTCCAACACACCCCCTCCTCCTGGACACCACCCCAAGGACTGCTACCCTCCCTTGACCTCTTCATCTCCAACTGCCATCGAGACATCAATTGCCTCAATCTCTCCACCCCACTCACCCACTCCAACCTCTCCCCCGCAGAACGTGCAGCCCTCCGCTCACTCCGCTCCAATCCCAACCTCACCATAAAACCCGTGGACAAGGGAGGCGCAGTTGTAGTATGGCGCACTGACCTCCACATCGCCGAGGCCAGACGCCAACTCTCCGACACCTCCTCCTACCGCCCCCTTGATCATGACCCCACCCCCTTGATCATGACCCCACCCCCGAGCACCAAACCATCATCTCCCAAACTATCCACAACCTCATCACCTCAGGTGACCTCCCACCCACGGCCTCCAACCTCATCGTTCCCCAACCCTGCACCGCCCACTTCTATCTCCTTCCCAAAATCCACAAACCTGAATGCCCTCGTCGACCCATTGTCTCCGCGTGCTCCTGCCCCACCAAACTTATCTCCAACTATCTGGACTCCATTTTCTCCCCCTTGATCTAGGAACTCCCTACCTATGTCCACCACCCACGCCCTCCACCTCCTCCAGAACTTCCAATTCCCCGGTCCCCAACACCTCATCTTTACCATGGACATCCAGTCCCTATACACCTGCATTCCCCATACAGATGGCCTAAAGGCCCTCTGCTTCTTCCTGTCCCGCAGGCCCGACCAGTCCCCCTCCACTGACACCCTCATCCGCTTAGCCGAACTCGTCCTCACCCTCAACAACTTCTCTTTCAATTCCTCCCACTTCCTACAGACAAAGGGGATGGCCATGAGTACCCGCATGAGCCCAAGCTATGCCTGCCTCTTTGTAGGTTACGTGGAACAATCCCTCTTCCGTAGCTACACTGGCCCTAAACCCCACCTCTTCCTCTGTTACATTGATGACTGTATCGGCACCGCCTCGTGCTCCCACGAGGAGCTCGAACAGTTCATCTACTTCACCAACACCTTCCACCCCAACCTTAAGTTCACCTGGACCATCCCTAATACCTCTCTCTCCTTCCTGGACCTCTCTGTCTCCATCTCGGGCAACCACCTAGAAACCGATATCCATTTCAAGCCCACCGACTCCCACAGCTACCTAGATTACACCTCCTCCCACCCACCTTCCTGCAAAAATGCCATCCCCTATTCCCAATTCCTTCGCCTTCGCCGCATCTGCTCCCAGGATGAGGCATTCCACACCCAGTTGTCCTCGTTTTTCAAGGACCGCAACTTCCCCCACTCAGTGGTCGAGAACGCCCTCAACCGTGTCTCCCGCATTTCCTGCAACTCATCCCTCACACCCCGTCCCCGCAATCAGAACCAAAAAAGAATCCCCCTCGTCCTCACGTACCACCCCACCAACCTCCGGATCCAACGCATCATCCTCCGACACTTCCGCCATCTGCAATCCGACCCACCACCAAAGACATCTTTCCCTCCCCACCCTTATCTGCTTTCCGGAGGGACCACTCTTTCTGTGACTCCCTTGTCCGCTCCACACTCCCCTCCAGCCCCACCACACCCGGCACTTTTCCCTGCAACCGCAGGAAGTGCTACACCTGCCCCCATACCTCCTCCCTCACCCACATCCCAGGCCCCAAGAAGACTTTCCACATCAAGCAGATGTTCACCTGCACATCTGCCAATGTGGTATACTGCATCTGCTGTACCCATTGTGGCCTCCTCTACATCAGGGAAACCAAGCGGAGGCTCGGGGACCGCTTTGCAGAACACCTACGCTCGGTTCGCAATAAACAACTGCACCTCCCAGTCGCGAACCATTTCAACTCCCCCTCCCATTCCTCAGACGACATGTCCATCCTGGGCCTCCTGCAGTGCCACAACGATGCCACCCGAAGGTTGCAGGAACAGCAACTCATATTCCGCTTGGGAACCCTGCAGCCCAATGGTATCAATGTGGATTTCACAAGCTTCAAAATCTCCCTTCCCCCTACTGCATCCCAAAACCAGCCCAGCTCGTCCCCGCCTCCTAACCTGTTCTTCCTCCCACCTATCCCCTCCTCCCACCTCAAGCCGCACCCCCATCCCCTACCTACTAACCTCATCCCGCCCCCTTGACCTGTCCGTCCTCCCTGGACTGACCTATCTCCTCCCTAACTCCCCACCTACATTCACCTTTACTGGCTCCATCCCTGCCTCTTCGACCTGTCTGTTTCCTCTCCACCTATCCTCTCCTCTATCCATCTTCTATCTGCCTCCCACTCTCTCCCTATTTATTTCAGAAACCCCTTCCCCTCCCCCATTTCTGATGAAGGGTCTGGGCCCGAAACATAGAACATAGAACATAGAACATAGAACATTACAGCGCAGTACAGGCCCTTCGGCCCTCGATGTTGCGCCGACCTGTGAAACCAATCTGTAGCCCATCTAACCTAAACTATTCCATTATCATCCATATGTTTATCCAATGACCATTTAAATGCCCTTAAAGTGGGTGAGTCTACTATTTTTGCAGGCAGGGCATTCCACGCCCTTACTACTCTCTGAGGTGCCTTTCTGCTCCTATGATGCTGCTTGGCCTGCTGTGTTCATCCAGCTCTGCACCTTGTTGTCTCGGATTCTCCAGCATCTGCAGTTCCTACTGTCTCTAAGTTATTCTAAATTCTTCTTTCTTTTGTTTATATTTTGACTATAATGTTTAAATAAATTGTGTCTTTTTGCTTAACGTCAAGTAGTTTGACCCGTCGCATTGCATCTAGAACATGGCACTTCATGTTTGCCTTTAAAACAAGAAAAAGTTAGGATCTAGCCTACCTTCTTAAAATATTTTGAGGGGATATGGTCTGGTCCATAACAATATGTTCTGAATTGAATACTAAAGAAATTAAGTATTATAAGGGATTATGCGTGAAAGTGGGGTTGAAGTAAAACATTGGCCATGGTGGAGCAGACTCCAGGGCTGAATGGCCAGCTCCTGGCCCTGTGTTTATATGAGAGAACGCTGCTGTGTTGCCCTCTCAGGTGGGAATGAAAGACTCTATGCCTTTGAAGAGGAGCAGCTGTGTTATCCCTGACGTCCCGGGTAATATTTGTGTCCTGCAAATCAACGTAACAAATAAATAGATTGTCTGACCATTGTCACGTCACAGACTGTGGAAACTTGCTGTGCAAGTTACATCCTGTTTTTCTCAGGTAAGAAAGCCATCTCTGTTCACCTAGACTCTGAATATTTGTTCAGCATTTCAAAGGCTAATTCCTCTAGCTTGTCTTGCCAACCAGAGATGTTTATAAGAAATTAAATGTCCAGGTAATAAATCATGGATTCTAATATGTGCATGTGGGCCTCCTATAGGCTAAACACCTGCCCTGACCCCTCCATTCTTACTGGCAACTATTTGCCATTATTACAAAGGTAATGGATTTTTAAAAATAAATCTTGCAGTTATCCAGCACAATGCTAGGAAAAAGGAAGATGTGTTGTATAATAATTTTCACAACCAAAGTTTGTTACAGCATTTTAAGTGATTTTGGAGTGCAGCCATTATTGCAATGTAGCAAATGAAGCAGCCAATTTGTACTCAGAAAGTGCCTACAAACAGAACTATGTATCCAGGTCATCGGTTTCCCTGTGGCATTCATTGCAGGATAAGTATTGGCCAGGAAGCCACAGATAGCTCTCCTTTGAAATGATGGCGTGCAGACAGACCATCAACGTCACATCTCATCCAAAGATAGCACCTTTTTTGAGAATGGAGCACTCTCTCAGTAGTGCACACTGGAAATGACATGTTGGTCTCTTCTCTCCCAAATACAGAAGTCTGAAAAGTGACCTGTTCGAATTCTTTAAAATTTTGAGAAGTTTTAACATAAGAACATAAGAAATAGGAGCAGGAGTAGACCATCTGGCCCGTTGAGCCTGCTCCACCATTCAATAAGATCGTGGCTGATCTTTTCATGGACTCAGCCCCACTCACCTGCCTGCTCACCATAACCCTTAATTTGATGGAGTGGATACAGAAAGAATGTTTTCTCTGGTGGGGAACAGCATAACCAAGTGCCATCCATATAAGATAGTCACCCAGAAATCCAAGGAGAAATCAGGAGAATCAAATCAGGAGAAATGTCATTACTCCGAGAGCAGTGAGAAAGTGAAACTCACTCCCATAGGCAGTGGTTGAAGTGAATGGAGTTGATGCATTTCAGGGGAAGGTAAACAAACAGATGAGGGGCAGGGAATAATGAGTTGTTGTGTTAGATTTAGGTGAGAGGAGATTCATATAGAGCCGAAACACCAGCAGGAATGGTTGGGCTGAATGGCCTGGTTGTGTGGAGTAAATCCTGCGTGATGCCATTCTGGATTGTGTGTTCACAGCTCAAGAGTAGGATTGGATGCCCCAAACTTCAGACAACAAGAGTGCACTGCACTGAGCTCAGTGCCAGTCTCAGATACTGAAAGAAGCTGAAATCACTTTCCATCATTTCAATCTGACAAAGGCTGTGCCCATTTTTGCAACAAACACAGGGCCCAGGCTCTTGCCTGAAACACTGAGAAGGTATTAAAACTGACCTGGAGGCAAAGCTGACCAAAAAAGGGAAATAATGAAATGATTATGGAGCTTTGGCCAAAGGCACCAATGCATGTAATTTTTTTTTCAGTCTGTTCAGCTTTGCTGTTTTTGAACTGAAAATTAAAAAGAAAACGATTACATTATTTGAATATATCTGCCTTAAGATATTACCATATTATAGGATGCTGTGACATTAGAAAAGGTCATTTCACTTATCACCACTTTGTAGGGAGCAGTCCTGCTGCTTACTGTCGCACGGCTCGGTGAAATCTCTCTGGAGTTTCACATAGTGCCCTTTGCTTGACATTTTTGGGAGAAAAACGATCAAACTGCAAAACCCCTGGAAAATACAAACTGTCGCATCTTATTATCTATACAATGGACACCGAGATTTCAGTGTGAGCAGTAAGAAGTTGAAAGAAATTTCATCAAGCACTTTCCAGAACAAGGTGTTATTACACCAGGCCACATCTGCTTCATTTGCTGCACTTTGAATAATTAAGTGGCCAACACGAAGCTGGCAGGAGGAATGTGTTTATCAATGATAACTTGTCAATAGTATCTCATGAGCGGACTCTACCTAACTACCTGTATTAGCACTTGATACACCCAGCATCACCCGTTAGCCATCCAGTGTTGTTACCAAACAGAAGATAGAGAGTGGGTGTATTGAGTTAGTTAATGTCACTGAGATTAGTGGGAAGAGGAACGTGTGAACATGAAAGACATTTACAGAAATGATTTGGCCTCAGGCATCAAAACCAGTAGACAATTAGAAGCAAACTTTGAGCCAATTTAATTCACTTTACATGGAATCAGAAATACTAAAAGCACTGGATGCTGCAAAATCCAACATTCCAGCCATTGTGCTTGTGTACCAGCAGGAGGCGTGCTCCTAATAAAACAGTTACAGTACAACCTGTTCATTGTCCACTGTCATCTATATTAAAAGGCTAATTTTACCAAGAAGTAAGTACACCTTTCAAACTAAGTTCTCTGCGAATGGGAATTATGCCCTTCAGACTCTGAACTCTATATGAATGGCGTGCAGCAGATGAGGTACTGAGATTTCACTTCCAATTTCCACCCTGCCCTCACTTCCCCTGGTCTATCTCTGACTCATCCTTTCCCTTCCTCGACATCTCTGTTTCCATTTCTGGGGAATATAATATCCACTATAAACCCATCAACTCCCACAGCTACTTGGATTATACACCCTAGCACCCTGCTTCCTATAAAGACTCCATTCCATTCTCCCAGTTCCTCCGTCTCCATCACTATGTTCTGATGAGGCCAACTTTGACAAGGGAGCTTCCGAAATGTCCACTTTCTTCCTCAACCAAGGATTCCCCAGCACCATTGTTGACAGGACCCGCAATCAGGTCTGACCCATCTCTCATACTTCAGCCCTCACCCCTTCTTTTCACTCCCACAACAACGATAGGGTTCCCCTTGTCCTTACCTACCATCCAACCAGCATCCACATCCAGAAGATCATCAGACGCCATTTCTGCCACTTCAAGTGAAATGCCACCACCAGACACCTATTCCCCCCACCCCCGCTTGTCCGCCTTCCACAGGACTGTTCCCTCTGGGACACCCTGGTACACTCTTCCTTCCCTCCCTACAATTCCCCCACAGCCCCACGACACCTTCCCCTGCAACCACCAAAGATGAAACACCTGCCCATTTACCTCCTCCCTCCCCAGTATCCAAGGGCCCAAATATACCTTCCAGGTGAAGCAACACTTTACCTGAACTTCCCAGGATCTAGTCTACTGCATTTGTTGCTCACAATGTGGTCTCCTCTACATTGGGGAAACGAAGCGTAGACTGGGTGACTGCTTTGGAGAACATCTACATTCTGCTCGCAAAAAAGACTCTGATCTTCCAGTTGCCTGCCACTTTAACACACCTCCCTGTTCCCTGGCCAACATCTCTGTCTCTGGCTTGCTGCAGTGCTCCAGAGAAGCTCAGCGCAAGCTGGGAGAACAATACCTCATTTTCCGCTTGGGAACCCTAAAGCCCTCTGGACTCAATATTGAGTTCAATAATTTTAGGGCCTAAATTCTCCCATGTCCCAGCCCCCCACCCCACACACCAGGCCTTGTTATCACATAGTCTGCCATTACACACTATTGATTGTTAGCCACTAACAGCTATTCACCCTCCAAGCCAGATTGTTATTCACTCCTTTATCTGACCAACTGTTCTTCTCTCTCTTTGGGCTGTATCCCCACCCATCATCCACTCCTTACCCCCTCCCCCCACCCTATTTTCTGCAGAGAAACCAACATTTTCCTAGATACCATTAGTTCTGAGGAAGGGTCACCAGACCTGAAATGTTAACTCTGATTTCTCTCCACAGATGCTACCAGGCCTGCTGAGCCTTTCCAGCAATTTCTGTTTTTGTTTCTGAGATACTGTACTTGCTGGAATTGGATTGAATCATCGCTGATATGTTCTCTTTCAAGAGCATTGATCGACGACAGGCCATGATTGGAGATCGTGTGGCAGCTAGCAAAAGACACTGGGGCAGAACTGATCGAAACACTGAGGGAGACAGGGAAAGAAGGCAAGTTTGCAGTGTTGTGTAGAAGATGGGTGAGCCTGTAGCATAAAGGGTTAATCACTACTGTTTTGGAGACACAGTCCAGCTTCAGTGATGTCAAGTGATGTCAGCTTACATGGAACGAGGACTTGAGGTAAGAATGTTCCAACGGAGTCCTGCTGGTATAACAAGGTGTAGAGCTGCATGAACACAGCAGGCCAAGCAGCATCACAGGAGCAGGAAAGCTGACATTTTGGGCCTAGACCTTCTTCAGGCCTGCTGATCTCATCTCTGCATAAATAGTTAATAAATTATGGAGTGATTACAGTGCAGAAGAGGCCTTTTGGCCAATTGAGTCTGTACTGCCAAATGTTCATCAGTTTGCATTAGTATGGTTTCCCGGTTTCACCAGACAAACATCCCATCCTGGTTGTGAAATGTATCTATGGCTGCAATGGTTTGGCCACTCTTTATTGAGGATCTTAGTCAAAGTTTGTGGGAGTGTGTAGAACCAGTGGCTTGGCAGAACACACTCCAAAAACTGCCCACTACAGTAATTGAATCTAATGATCCTTACGAGAGTCACATGACTGCAGTTAAGAAATGAACAGGGCGATGGAATAAACCATATCACTTTCCCAAGCTCTGGAGCTGACTGTGGACTTCACCAAAGTGTGCATTGGAGAAATGGGCTTTGCTAGTTCAATCAATACTGGACTGCATCTGGATTTGATTAGAATCCAGTTAGGTCAGTGTTTTCCTGTACAATTCCACTCAATTTCAAGGTTGCAGGATTGATTTGATTTGATTTCATTTCATTTATTATTGTTACCTGTACTGAGATATAGTGAAAGGCATTATTTTGGGTGCCATCCAGACAAATTACTCCTCACATAAGTATAGCAGGGTAATAGAACAGAATGCAGAACATAGTGTTACAGCTACAGAGAAAGTGCAGAGAAAGATCAAATGTAATACATGAGAGGTCCATTCATAAGTCTGATAGCAGCGGGGAAGAAGCTGTTCTCGAATCTATTGGCACATGTTTTCAAAGTTTGATATGTTCTGCCCAGTGGAAAAGGGTGGAAGAGAGTGTAACCGGGGTGGGAGAGGTCTTTGATTATGTTGGCTGCTTTCCTGAGGCAGTGGAAAGTATAGATGGAGTCAATGGAAGGAAGGGTGGTTTTCATGATGGACTGGGCTCTGTAATTTCTTACGGTTATGGGCAGAGCAGTTACCATACCAAGCTATGTTGTATCCAGATAGGATGCTTTTCATGGTGCACCTGTAAAAATTGGTAAGTGTCATTGTGGATATGATGAATTTCCTTAGCCTTCTGAAGAAGTAGAGGCATTGGTGCATTTTTTTGACTGTTGACGTGGATGGGCCAGTACAGATTGTTGATGATATTGACTCCTAGGAACTTGAAGCTCTCAACCACCTCCACTTCAGCACCATTGATATAGACAGGGTGTGTCCTCCAATCTGCTTCCTGAAGTCAATGGCCAGCTCCTTCATTTTGCTGACATTGAGGGAAAGATTGTTGTCTGTGCATCATGCCACAAAGTTCTCCATCTCTTTCCTATCCTCTGTGTCAATGTTGTTTAAGATCCGTACCACTACGGTGGTGTCATCAGCAAACTATTTTATTGAGCATGCGAAGGCAGGTGCATGTCACATTTCAGTATAAAGGGTGAGGGATCATCAGCGCTTTGCATTCCACTAGTTCAGAATCCAAACTCTTAAATAAGTGATATTAACCCATATATCAAACACATAACTCACATCTGCACCCACAAAGAAGAATGAAAATGTGTCTCTGACAGATATTTTCATTAACCATTAAAAATTATGCAAACGCTAGTTCCATGTCACATTAATAGTCACAATATATTGATGTTAAACTTGTGCTGAGTTGCAGGACCCCTTGTGGTACAGTGATAGGATCTTTACCTCTGGGCTAGGTGACCTGTGTTCAAATCTCAGATACTCCAGAGGTATGCTGTCACATCCCTGAACAAGTTGGTTGCAAGATAACTGCAATGATTTATACAGCAGTCATATTTTACATAAGCCCACAGGGACTACATCATTCCATGTCCTTTGTATGTGTTCTTGATAAAGCCTATTCCTGCACCTATTTTCTACACTTCTATGTTTCATCCACTGCAACATTTTCTTTTCCAGGCATATGAATGATTTTCATATTATAAGGCTGGAGAATTAAACTCCACCAAAATAATCTTTATTTCTTGTTCCTGAAGCTTCTTAAAAATACCCAAACAATTGTAAATA